TAAGTGTGAGGAGGAAGGGGCTGACAGTCGAAGTTTCTTAAAAATATATATATTGTTTAGCCACATTAGTTAACCAAACATGGATGTTTGTTTAAGCAAATAACATGCTGTAATGTTATTAAACTGGGATAAAAAAACTAATATGAAAAGTTGTTATTATCTTCATCTACTTGCATATTAAAGTTATACCAGCAAGAATTAGTCTATGTAGAAAACTAGGATTTAAATCAAGCCTGACTAGTGATTTGATTTAAATCAAATCCACCCTGATGGACTTCAAGGCTTGGTTGTGTGCCTGACATGCACTGTTACTGTGGGACCTTATATAGACAGATTTATACCTTTCAAAATCATGTGCAATCAACTGAATTTCCCACAGGTGGACTCCAAGTTGTGGAAACATCTCGAGGATGATCAGTGGGAACAGGATGTACCAAAACTCAATTTTGAGTGTCATGGCAAAGGTTGTGAATAATTATGTACTTTTTTTTTTTTATTTTTATTTTTAATAAAATTGCCAAGATTTCAAAACAAACTTCTTTCACGTTGTCATGATGGGGTATTGTTTGTAGAATGTTGAGGAAAAATTTAATTTAATCCATTTTGGAATAAGGCTGTAACAGAACAAAATGTGGCAAAAGTTAAGCGCTGTGAATACTTTCCGGGTGCACTATACAATGTAATATATTGCAGCCTGTTAATCCTTAAAAAGCAGTGACTTCATTTGTTTTGTTTTTGGCTTTTTTTCCACCCAGTGATTCAGCCAGTAGAACACTCCTGTCTTAGGTTGTCTCCATTCTACTTGAGGAATAATGGAGGAACCATTGGGCAGCAGCATTGTCAATCTGTGGGCAGGGTAGTGTTTGATGAACTTAGTGTTTCTTACTGCAACATTTCATATTTGTGATATATGTCTGTTGTACCACATACTTGTGTACAAAGCATTTTGTTCTCTTTGTATTTCTTGCTTTGTGTGAAATACCTGGTGATGCTACCAGTAACCCGCTCTCCTATTTCAAACGAACCATGATGGATGGTTTTATTAAAGCACATCCATCTCTGTGGTCAGTTTTCTGGCTGTGCTGGGAGCACAGTTTGCCTGTCCGCCAACTTCCAAGACTTGTGCTGAAATTGCTCTCTCTGCCTCCTGCTGACACATCCCCCTGCAGTCTCCATCCCCACTTCTCATACAACTAAGAATACAGGTTAGGTCATTGTTTTTCTTTTGGGAAAAAGGTTTTACATAAATTAATAAAATCTGGCCATTATAATCTTCCCTGTCCAGTGTAAAAACTTAAAGGAAGTTGGAAATTATTTTTATCTGGTGATCCAGCCAGTAAATCTGTTAAAGTGAAAAGCCTGAAAAAAAAGAAAACTAATGCAACCACCACATTCTAAGCCTAGTTCACACTATCAGTAAATCGAATGAATGATTGCATTTTTCCATATTCTCATGCTACATTGAAAATGAGAATGCCTAAAACGGTATGAAAATTCTTGGACAGGAGACAACTGCACCTGCTACTGTGCAAGTGTCAAATTTTGACATGGAGATGTGCTGTGCACACGCTGCATCTGCATTCACTTCTATAGGCTGCCTGCACTCAACTCCAACATGGATGTAGACAAAGGAAGAAAAAAAAAAAAAAGCAGCCGAGTATGTATGATGGGTGCCAGTGTCTGAGTGCGCTCTAACTCTAATGCCAAAAGGACCTTACGATTTTGGATTGAGTAAGGACAATTAGAACTATTTTTTTTTTGTGTCTCCAAGCTATTCCCCATCATGTCTTGACTACTCAAGAGGACGCGAGAGGATATTGTGAGGACTGCACCTGACAGTGAAAAAAATTTTTTGCTTACCCAATCCTCTGATCTCACAGGCTCCTCTGCTAGACCAGTCCCTATAGCCTCTTCTCCCCTGCTCTCCAGCAGTCTAAGTTCCATTAACGATGCTTAGGCCAATGCAGGACCCATAGCCCTGTACTGGATGACAGGACATGGAGAACAGTCCACTGAATGAAAGAAACATTGTTTGCAGTGGGAAGTGGAAGATCGGGTAGTAAAAGTACTCTTACTGTCCCCTACACTGAACAAGCAGTTAACATGTGCAGTGCAGGCACAGCAAAACTGCAAGGGAGCACTTTTTAGTTTTCTGAAGTTCAGCTTTAAAGGATAAGTTCACCTTTTGAAAAGAAACAAATAAATGCACTTTTTTTTGCAAGTAAAAATATGTGCATTTACTAATTTTTCCTAAGGAGCCTATACAGAGCACTGCACCTGCGATTAACAGATTGCTGGTGCAAGCTCAGGCTCCTGCAGACTCTTAGGATAGCCGTTTGCCTGTAACTTGTACGGGAAGGCAGTTACTTGAGTGCAGGAAGAATCAATGAACTACCAGAGTGCTCACCAGCGCCCTCGTCGTTCTCTGAACTACAATCCATCGGCCGCAATGGCTGATTTTACTAGTATGCTATGCATTTACAGGAAACTGTGAATGAATGATGCTGAATGAATGATGTGACCATGTGGGCAGAGCCCTGCTGCTTTTAAATTGTGACAGCGGGTGTGGGGAGAAGTTTCCATGCCCACTGTCGCATGGAGAGGGGAATCGGAGATGTAGAAGCAGAAAGAGGTTTCATGTTTCTACCCTAAAAACGGGTAGAACATGTTCTAAAGGTGAACTTATCCTTTATGTTGCCACATACAGACCTCTCTAACCATGCTAAGCAGCACTGATAGATGAATCTTCCACTTTGGGCTATTTTATTCTGCCAGAATACCCAAGCAGTGCTTGCATGCATATAAATAAAGATCCAACCAAGCTCCTTCGAATGGACAGAAAAAAAAAGACTTTTTTTGATCTGGATGTAGCTGATAGGGCCACGCAATGAGCAATCTTTGACTGATTCATAGGAACAATTGCCCCCACTGAAAGTTTTTTCCTTGATTTCTGTTCTGGTGGAAACACAAAATGCATTTACCCCCCCACCTTAATTCCCTATGACACTGGTGATCAGGGCCACTAGAGAGAACAGATCTCGGTGACACAGATAATAAAAATTGGTTCCAACCCCTCTCCGCTTTTACTCTAAAAGTTTTGCTTTTAGAAGAACATGAAACATTTGTCTAGGACTGTGTAATTGGATCTGCCACTGAGCAAGATACAAAAATTCTCCAATAAAATAAAAGAACTAAGAAATTACCAGCACAGTCTACTTGAGACGAAGATTAAAAAAACAAAAATCACAAAAATAAAAAAGGATGCAGACGTTCTATGCTCCAAACATTCTAAAATGTTCCAGTATACAATATCTTCAGTGTATTGAGAAGCAACCTATAAAAGTACAATACTCTGAACTACAAGGAAAGACTATATGGAATAATATTAATAAGGTTTATAATATTGTTTGTTACACCATATATTCCAAAAATACAACTAAGAGAATAGAATAGGGATGAATCTCAGATAGTCAGTACACCGATTTAAAAATTGATATAAAAAATATAAAGAGATTAAATACATCAAACACAAAGAATATGAACAACATTACACCAATGGTCAGAGATCAAAGCTTTGTTACCCTTTGCACATGATGCATTTGGGAAAGTGGTCTAATGAACCATATAATGGAAAATGAAATGCAAAGCTCAACATTAGGAGCACAGTATAACAAGATTTTAACTTTTATAAATAGTTCAGCAATTTTAGAATGTGTAGGCTTCTGTAAAAGCCCAGATACAGCCTTTGGACCTTATTTACACTTGCTATTGGGGGCGGTACAAACAGCAGCTGAGCCTTTTTTAAGAGCGTGTTGAAATTGTGAGCAGAATTGCCGCAATTCTGCTCGCAAATCAAAAATACCATGTGTGAACGCAGACTCTGTCATGATTTCATGTGTTTTTGAGTTTTTTGCAGCTTTTGTCAGGTGTTTTTTCAGGCATTTTTCAACTAGATGTTTGGAGTGCTGCTGAAAAAGGGGTGGAGAGCTGTTTGAGCAGAAAACACGCAAAACACTTGAAAAAAACACCCCAAAAAAACTCTCATCTTGTGCTTTTTAAGCATTTCCACTGAAGCCTGTGGGGACAAAAAGTATAACTTCTGCCTGATAAGTAACGCATATTCTTTTTTTGTATTACAAGTTTTGTGCTACAAGCGATAAAACGCTCAGATGTGAACAAGGGCGATTGAAAAACAATAGGTTTTTGTTTTTTGAGCATTTTCGGGCTACATGCTAAGAAATGCTCAATTGTGACCCAGGCCTTAGATTGAGAACTGAGCGATCAAACATTGCTGATTGCTCATCTCTCGGTCCTCAGCCTGCAGAGTGCTGTCAGTTACCGGCTCTCTGCTCTGCCCCTTCAGTGCTCACTGGAGCGCTGGGCTGTGCAGGGTGCAGGAGCAGCTAGCTCAAGCTCTCAGCGGATTGGTCGGGATCTTTTCAAAGCTTGGGCCGGCTCTGTGACATCAGGTGACAACAGGCTTTAGCCCACTGTTAACTTAAAATGGGTCACAGGAGTGCAGAAATAACTGCACTCCCATGACCCACAGGAATAGTATAGCCAAAAAAAAAAGGTTTGCCCATACTTCTTTAAAACTGCAGTCCATTAGGATACTCACATCACTGTGCCATCATAGGGCTGGATGCTGCTGCACATTTGTGACATCACGGGGCAAGCTGCAAAAACCAGGAAGAGACAGCCAGCTCCTGATGATGTCAGAGGAGAAGGCAGAGCTGGAACTAGTAAGCAGCAAAGGAATAGCAGATTACTACAGAACATTAGATTCGCAGGGTATGTCAGTATGTTTATTGTGAATAAACCAGCAAACAAGGTAAGAAGGGATTAAAAAAATAAACAGGAAAACGATATTCCTTTTTAACCGCTTTCCGTCCGCCCTATAGCAGATATACTGCTACAGGGCAGCAGGGTGCACAAAATCACATGTATACATACGTAATTTTGCATTTGTGGGTAGGGCCTTGGCTGTCAATCGTCGGGTCCCGGCCGGTGATTGCCAAGCATTACTGACAGAGGGAGAGAACTGTATGTAAACAATACAGTTCTCTCCCCTGTCAGCTCCTGCAGACTGCTTTGTGTGTGCTTACAGTTGAAAGCACTAACAGCCCACAGTAAAAACAGCACACAGTTAACCCTTTGATCGCCCCACATGTTAACCCCTTCCTGCCCAGTGCCATTAGTACAGTGTCAGTGCGTTTTATTAGCAGTGAACACTGTATAGGTGTCACTGGAGATGTCAGTGACACCAAGTCAGTTCTCCCCATGTCAGAATGCCCCCTGCAGTCCCGCTCCAAGTCGCTGATCGCCGCCATTACTAGTAAAAATAAAAAAAATCCAAAATATATATACCACCATTTGCCATCTTATATTTCAATACATTTTTATTTAAATGGTTTAAATCCTTAATTACTTCAGTAGCTGTGTGTAAGCTACACTGATAACTACTGATACGTAAAGCGGGAACCGCACTTCTGACTCCCTACTGCATCGGAATGGGGTTTATGATGGACTCCAGTTTCTGTGTTGTGCCTCTACCCCCTCACTCTACTGTGCCAAACAACACAAATGTCATCACTGTGCGCTGTGCTTTGTGAACGGCACAGCAGCATAAGGGGGTGGAGGCACAACACCAGATCTGTCGTCGATTATAGACCCCATTCCAATTCAGTAGGGAGTATTTAGGAGAACCGTAACTGCCACACCACCCCAGACCCCTCCGGTTTTTTTTTTTTAAATCCCACCTAAACTTTTCTTCTGGGCTGTCCTTCATAAACATACTCAAATGCCCAGCAAACTCAGCAATGCTCTGCAGTAACCTGTGTTTTGATGTCATCTTGGAGCCAACTATCTCTTCCTGGTTTTTAGCTAGCCTCCTGATTGCATGCTGCTGTACATGTATGTCATCAGTGGGCCAACTTTAAGAACCAGGAAGGGACTGCAGGGTCCCTGTTAATGCACCGTGCTGCAAGCACTGTAGAATGCCACCCTGAGATATAACAGGCATCCCAGGAGGCAGCATGACAATAAATCTGAATGTATGGGTTAGGTTATCCCCAAAAAGTTATTTAAATAAATAACTGTAACTGTCCAATTGTGGAATAGACAGGGTGTGAAGGTCCTCTTTAAAAATTATATATATATCTCCATACATATACGCACACACACACGCGATAGATACAGAGAGATCTATGCCTGGAGCTGGGCTGAAAGGACTGATTTACACCAGGAATCGCACAGGAACGCACTGCACATTCCTGTGCGATTCACATGCGGTCCAGTGTAGGGTGACTTGAACCAATTTCTTTTGAACAGGCTGAATTGCACTGGATCGCATCAAAGGTAGTGCATGCACTACTTTAACCGCTTCAAAAGTACTGCTACAGGGCGGCACGGCTGCGCAAAATCACACACACATTTTTTATATATATATATATATATATATATATATATATATACGCAATTTTGCATATCCGGGTAGGGGGCACATGCACCCTACCCACACCACCATTCATGGCCGCAGTTGTCAATCACTGGGTCCCGGCTGGTGATTGCCGAGCATCTCAGAATGGGGGGAGAACTGTTTGTAAACAAAACAGTTCTCTCCCCTGTCAGCTCCTGCACACTGCTTTGCATGGTTTACAGTGAAGCATACATACACAGCCCCTAATAAAACAGCACACTGTTAACCCTTTCCTACTCAGTGCCATTAGTACAGTGTCAGTGCTTTTTATTAGCACTGAACACTGTATTGGTGTCACTGGGAATATCAGTGACACCAAGCCAGTTCCCCCCAGTGCCAGAATATCCGCCAGTCCTGCTATAAGTTGGTGATTGTCACCATTACTAGTAAAAAATTAAAAAATCCCAGTATATATACCGCCATTTGTAAACGCTATAACTTTAACATAAACCAAATAATTTACACGTATTGAAATTATTTTTAGCATAGACATTTATGACAAAATTTGATTTTTTACATTTTTTTTACTGGACATATTTAATAGCAAATAGTAAAAAAATTGTTGGCCTTTTTTTTTTTATAGTGCAATAAATAAAAACCGCAAAGGTGATCAAACACCGCCGAAAGAAAGCTCTCTAGTGGGGGGGGGGGGGGGGGGGAAGGACATAAATTTCATTTGGGTGCAGTGTTGCATGACCGCGCAATTGTTAATTAAAGTAACGCAAAAAATTACCTGGTCAGGAAGGGGGGGGGGGGGGGTAAATCCTCTGGAGGGCAAGTGGCTAAAGAACACACTGCAATCAGATTGTACCTCTGTACTGTGTGAACTGGCACCAAATCGTGGGAATAAACATGGACCTCTGTAGGTACTCCTTCTCTGCTGTCTTACAGGCTAAGTTCATGTTTGGAACATATTACACCTGTTATTTAGGGGGTAACATGCTCCACCTCCACCTGTCCCCTGTAAACATTTTAAAATTTGTGCATCTCTGCCATGTCAAATGACTTGTAGCTCTCAATGGACTGCAAAGGGTGCTGATGAACACTCTAGTCCACGGATACTTTCTCCAGCTTTCCAACAGAAAGCCCATACAGTGGTACAGGTAAGAATGCTGGAGGCCATGCCTGCCTGGGGGGAATTATTATTTTTTTTGCAAAAATATATACTATAAAATATGTTTACTATTTCTCCCCCACCCCCATCCAAGGGCCCCATTCACATCTACATGTGGTGAGAATGTGTGTTTGCGAGTTTTTTTCCCTGCAAAAGCATAGGCCACCCATTCACTTACAGAGCTTGGTGCATTTTGTGCGCTAGCTGCGTTTGGGTGTCAGTAAGATTTAATGACACTGCAAGCTCCATGCACATTCCCGAAATGCTCAGTTGTGAATGGGCCTGGGTGAACCGAAGCAGCCCAAATATGATTTGTTATTTTTTTTTCTTTCATTCAACCAGCGGATTAAATGAAAAAAACTGATTCCCCCCAACCACACATTGGAAATGGATTGAGGAAATCACTCCCACTGAGCTATTGTGTTTTATAGCTAGAGGCGATAATAGAACGGCATTTATCCGACAGGCTGGTTGAACAAAAGTTGACTTGCTGTACAACCGCTGTCCTCACACGTGAATCCAAATTTGGTGGGTCCCTGCTAAACCGGCTGAAAGTGAATCCATGTATGGCCAGCTTTATCCTCCAAACTTTACCCAAGACTCTCTAGCCATTGGACGTTCCTTTGGCACGGCTTAAGCCCTGGTTCACACCAGTGCAGCTTTCATTGCAATAGTGCTACCTCAGTGTGATTTTAAAGCCGCAGATGACCGATTTCACTTTGGCTTGCGTTTTCAGTTGCAATGAAACAGAGACGTAGAGCGGGAACCTTTTTCAAAGTCGTTGCGACATATTTTGTGGCTATTTGAGCAGTTCCATTGCCACTAATGTGCTGCGACTTGTCAAGCGATTTGGAACTGGCAAATTGTATGACAAATCACACCAGTGTAACCCAGGGCTGAATCTTAAAAGTGGTTGTAAAGGCTCAAGGTTTTTTTTACCTTCATGTATTCTATGTATGAAGGTAAAAAAACCTGTGTGCGGCCCCCCTACCCCCACAGCCACCCCTAATACTTAAAGCGAATCTAACGGTTAATTTTTTTGTAAAATAACAAACGTCTATACTTACCTGCTGCGTGCAGTGGTTTTGCACAGAGCAGCCTTCATACTCCTCAGATCCCCCGCAGGCTCTCCTGGCTCCTCCTATCGGGTGCCCCCACAGCAAGCAGCTTGCTACGGGGGCACCCGCTGCTCCATGTGCCCATTCACACACGCTTGGCTCCGTCCCACCCTCTCCCCTCGTTGGCTGACTTGCTGTAATTAACAGCGGGAGCCAATGGTTCCCGCTTGCTGTTTCAGCCAAAGAGGAGGCAGAGACCCAGGACAGCCGAGGCTGTTATTCACATCGCTGGAACAATCACAAGATGAGGCTCAGGTAAGTATTGAGGGTGCTGGGGAAACTCCTGCACACAGAAGTTTTTTTTTACCTTCATGCATTTATAACCACTTTAATAGACCACCATCTCAATCCAGCAATTCGAACAAGAGCCTTGGCTCTCCAGGGACTCTCCTTCCTCATTGGCTCCCACTGCTATCAATCATAGACAGTGAGCAAATGAGGAGAGGGGCCAGGCCATGGCTGTGAGTGAATAGACACAGGGAGCAGAGGGTGCCCCCCGTAGCAAGCTGCTTGCTATGGGGGCACCGGACAGACAGGAGGAGCCAGCAGAGCAGGCCTCTGGAGCCCCCATACGGATACCACTGCCGTGAGCAGGTAAGTATAACATGGTATTTAAAAAACAATATGCCTTTATTATCCCTTTAACATAACAGATTGAATACTGCTTTATACCTCACAATAAACAAAGTAAGCCCATGTACTGCGTATGACAGGTAGGTTCACCTGTGGTGTGATGGATACTGCACTTCAAGACCCTGAGAAGCAGAATACAGTCCTGTGATGTGAATGTGTGGCCCCTGAGCCAACAAGGATCTTGTCCAGGGTCAGCCTGTCTGATGGGGCACAGGATGGATGTACATCCAGCATGTATGAACTGCCATCACCCGAGGCAGCCATTGTTCCATGTTCTAGAAATACACAGACACTTCCTAATCTACAGCCATCCTGTGTGCCCCCCTGCCTGTGTGTGAGCAGGCTGTCCTGTGTCCATCCACCCCCCAGGAGAGGCCAGCAGTGTGGAGGCACCCCCCCGGGGAGAAGGCACGGCTCATCCATTCATGTCTATCCTTTGTTTACAAATCTATCGGCCGATCTCGGTGAGGGATCAGCCCAGCCTCAGCCTCGCACAGCCAGCCCTATCCAATCCACATCCCGATCAGAGCGATTCAGACGCCATTCTCCCACCACAGCCCTCCATCACCCCCCTCCCCACCTCCACCACATCCGCCCGGGGTCACCTCACCAGACACCGCCGAGGTTGCCTGAGACTGGGAGCCGAGGCCACAACGACCTTCCCTACACATCCCCCTCCACCCCCGGGGCCCGAACAAAGCACGGCGGCCCCGTCCTACATAACACCGCACACATACAAATCCCCCCAGCACCGGCCTCCCTCACCATGAATACGTCTGCTCAGCCATGGCGGCGGCTTCTGCTGCTCCTCCGGGGGGTGGGGGCTCGGGCCCTGGGTCTATCCGCGGCGGCTATGCAGCTTCTCACACAACATGGCGTCCGGGCCTCACGGTGAGGAGGGGCTGAGATCCCGGAGAGGTAAGCCCATGGCACATAGATGACACACGGCCAGCAGGTACCGAACTTGCACTGGCGGAGAGGCCGCGGCTGCGCGCTCGTGACTGGCGAACACCAAGCGCACTCCCGACGGCTACGGAGAAGAGCGCGCACGCGCTGTGAGAGGGGAGTGCGTCAGGTGATCAGAGTGGGCGGAGCGCTGCTAACGCTCTCTGTCCCTCTCCCACATGATGTCAGCGGGAGAAGTGCGCACACACGGCGGGCAGATAAACAGAGCACCATAGTTCCCGTATCATCGTCTATTACTGTGTAGAAGGCGGCTAGTCTGGTGTGGGGGAGCTCAGGACAATACCTGTGATGCAGGCTCTTACTATCTAGCACCTGGAAATCCTCCTTTATATTGGGTGCAGCATAGAAATATGTGGTCCCTAACCACGTGCCCTCCAGAGGATTCACCCCCCTTCCTGACCAGGCCGTTTTTGGTGATACAGCGCTGCATTACTTTAACTGACAATTGCGCGGTCATGCTACGCTACACCCAAATTAAATTAAATTTAATTTTCGGCCTTTTTTTCCCACACAAATTCAGCTTTCTTTTGGTGGTATTTGATCACCTGTGTGGTTTTTATTTTTTGCACTATAAACATTAAAGTCCGTTTTGAAAAAAAACCCAATATTTTTTACTTTTTGCTATAAACGTATCCAATAAAAAAATTGTAAAAATCAAATTACTTCATAAATTTAGGCCAAAATGTATTCTGCTATTTATTTCAGGTACTTATATAGCACCATCAATTTACGCAGTGCTTTACATATACATTGTACATTCACATCAGTCCCTAACCCTCAAGGGGCGTACAATCTAAGGTCCGTAACTCACATTCAAATACAAGGGCCAATTTAGACAGGATCCAATTCACCTACCAGTATGTCTTTGGAGTGTGGGAGGAAACCGGAGTACCCAGAGGAAACCCACGCAGGCACAGGGAGAATATGCAAACTCCAGGTAGGTGGTGCCATGGTTGGGATTCAAACCAACGACCCTAGTACTACCAGGCAAAAGTGCTAACCACTTAGCCACTGCTACATGTGTTTGCTTAAAAAAAAAATTCTCAATACGTGTATATGAATTGGTTTACCTGAATGTTATAGCGTTTACAAATGGCAATATATATACTGGGATTTAGAAAAAAAATTTTTTTACTAGTAATGGTGGCGATCACCAACTGCGGCAGACATTCTGACACTGGGGGTAACTGACTTGGTGTCACTGACATCCCCTGTGACAGCAATACAGTGATCAGTGCTAAAAGAAAAGCACTGACAATGTAATAATGGCACTGGGCAGGAAGGGGTTAACATGAGGGGCGATCAAATTGTTATCTGTGTGCTGGGAGTGTTTTACTAGGGGGCTGTGTCAGTGTGCTTCACTGTAATCACACTGCTCTGAATGGCTGTGCACAGCCATCCAAAGAAGTGTGCCCAAGCTGACAGGGAGGAGAACTGTTAGGAAACAAAACAGTTCTCTCCGTCGAGATCCTCGGAAATCACCGGGCGCCGGCGAGTAATCACCAGCTGGGACCCAGTGATTGACAGCTGCGGCCATGAA